CTGCCCGCGTGTTCCACAGCTTTGCTCCCCGTCTCCCTGGTCTGCTGGTCTCCAGCAGACCAGGGAAACGCGGAGCAAACCCTGTTCGTAACTGCGGAGTCGGATCCGCGTAACTCGGGGACTGCCTGTATTTTAAACAGATAGTCTCCATGTATTTTATAGTATGTAAAGACTTTAGTGTACTATCTTTTTGCCCTTTCATCATTTCAGCAGAGAAATGGCTCATGCATCAAACATACACATTCTCTTAGCTATCTGCTAGCATCAAGGATACAGTGGAGACCAGAGGTAAAGCAAAGCAGCCTTACTTCTTCTAGGCATACATTTAAGAATGTCAGAAAAAAACAAAGTGTGGTCAAGTAAAGACCACAAATCCTTCTGGTTGTTATTCTTTAGCACATGCTGAACTACAACATAACCCCACTGCTCCTGTAAGTATTGCAGATGAAAATTCTTTTCTCTTGTATGAGAGCAAAATTCTCATCTAGCCCTCTTCAATGTAGCATCATTTTAAACCAGAAAGTAACTCCTTCACGTGTAGACTCAAATTTTTCTTTTAAAAAACAAACTTTTTTTCTGTTAGTTAATTTTCTAGGCTGCTCAGTAAATTGAAGCATGTGGTAAGAACCTGTCTAGCAACATACATTCCAATGACCTACTTTGTCTTCCAGGTCATGTATGCTGAACTTTCTTTGTTGTCAACACATTGAGGTAACAGCAGAATGAGGCTGTGTCATGGTGACTGTTCAACTGAACAGATATTGAAATAAACCCACAGTATAAATAATTGGAGAACCAGCATTTGTGAGGATACACTATGGTATGTAAAAAAAATTAAGGTGTTAACTTTTAGACGAAGGACAGTCTGTGGTTAAAACATGGAACCCTGAATTGGGAGAGCTTTTTCATCTTCCCAGCTCTGCCACACACTTGCTGTGTGACCTTGGGCAAGTCACATCTCCTTCTGCCTTATTTTTCCCATCTGAAAGATGGGGATAAGAATAATTACACCGCAGAGGAGTGCGCTGAGTCAGCAAAGCATGCTGACATTCTTGGCTGTCTAAGTACAAAGTACTTTTCAGGAACATGGTGGATTTAGAGCAAGAGGTTACTGCTAGTAACTGAGGCCTATACTAGACCCAGAAATAATATATTACAGAGTTATGTGAAAATACTGCAAAGGAAAAAACAATCCTTACCTTGTCAGCAAAGTGTTGTATGATAAAAGCTTTGTTTGACATACGTGGTTTTTCAAAGAGCACACATTTATTCAAATGTGTGTTATACAACTTCTGGGCCCAAGAGCCATCTGATCCTTTTGGCATCTATATAAGGGAATATAAAACATCATTTATACATGTTGTGGACCTTTTAGAGGTGAATAATATCAGAAAGATGGTTCTGCAATAACGGGCAACCACATTTTGTATTCTACTTCAAATTTAAGCCCCCTGCTACACTGAAGTTTGCCAGTAACTTGTTATGGGTCTGACTCTGCAAACAGTTATCACTGAGCAACTTGTTTACTACTGCAGATTGTATCACCGGACTATTCTCAGCAATGTTTCTGTGAGTGGACCCTACCCAAGTTAGAGACACTCTGAAGAGAACAGGGGGAAAAGAACAAAAAAGAAAAGGGAGAGATAAATACATTCGATCAACAAACTTTCAGTGCAGTATATCTAGAAGCAAAAAGTATTATACACAAGACAGTTTCTTATTAAAGACAGACTTACTAGGTCAAAGCATATCCATCACTATTAGTTGTTTGTAATGTCTTAGCAAGTAGAAGCCCCAAGTCAGGGATCCAGTGAATTTAACACTGTACACATATGAAATAAAAAGATAATCCCTGCACCAAACAGTTCATAATGTTAGTATATGATAAACAGATAGAGAACAAAAAGAACAATGAGGGGGGATGAACTGGGAAAGCGTGAGGAAAGACAACACCGAAACCAATACAATAGTATAGAAAGAAGCAGCTGCAGTATATCAACTGTCTACTCACTGTCCAATGTTTTGTAGGCACCATGGCAGAACTGAGTTTAAGGAGAGATTTGAAGGAGGCAGTGTGGTGGTTTTGCAGATTTTTATAGAAAGTTCTTTACACAGAGGACATAGGAAAAAGCATGAAGGTGGTTAAAGGGGAATTGAATGTCTGGGCAGTGATGGCTAGCACTACTGGTTCCATAACATAGAATTGTTCAGAAGAGGGTCTTGGAAGACCATACAGGGTTTAAGTGGCTTGTGTTTGATGCTGCAGAAAAGGAGGAACCAATGGAGGAATTCAAAAAGAGGAGTGAGGTATTCAGAGCATGAAGGCAGGGGGATAATCTTAGCAGGAAGGATTTGAAAGGACTTCAGGTGGAGGAGTGAGTAGGAGAAAGTTGCACTGGAAAGGAGAAAGTCACAATAGTCAAGACACAAGATGGTTAGAGACCGGACAAGAGCTATAGATACGTGGACTTAGAGGAAAGGCCAGAATATGCCTGTCTTTTGTTCTCCAGTAGTTGCTCCAAATAACTAAAATCCAGAACATCAAAACAATCATAAGAACATAAGAATGGCCATAGGTCAGACCAAAGGTCCATCTAGCCCAGTATTCTGACTGCTGACAGTGGACAGTGCCAGGCGCCCCAGAGGGGGTATACTGAAGACAATGATCAAGCAATGTGTCTCCTGCCATCCTTCTCCAGCCTTTGACAAACAGAGGCCAGGGGCACCATTCCTTACCTCCTGGCTAATAGCCTTTTATGGACCTAACCTCCATGAATTTATCTAGCTCTTTTTAAAACTCTGTTATAGTCCTAGCCTTCACAGACTCCTCTGGCAAGGAGTTCCACAGGCTGACTGTGCACTGTGTGAAGAACTTTCTTTTATTAGTTTTAAACCTGCTACCCATTAAGTTCATTTGGCGTCCTCTAGCTCTTATATTATGGGAACAAGTAAATAACTGTTCTTTATTCACTCTCTCCATTCCACTCATGATTTTATAAACTGAAAAGTCCCAGTCTCTTTAGCCTCTCCTATGGGACCCATTCCAAACCCCTAATGATTTTAGTTCCCCATTTTTGAACCTTTTCTAATGCCAAAATATCTTTTTTGAGGCGAGGAGACCACATCTGTACCCAGTATTCAAGATGTGGGTGTACCATAGTTTTATATAGGGGCAGCAAGATATTCTTCATCTTATTTTCTATCTTTTTAAATGATTCCTAGCATCTTATTTGCTTTTTTGACTGCCGCTGCACACTCGTGGACGTTTTCAGAGAACTATCCACGATGACTCCAAGATCTCTGATTAGCTGTAACTAAATTAGCCACCATCATATTATATGTATAGTTGGGGTTATTTTTTCCAATGTGCATTACTTTACACTTATCCACATTACATTTCATTTGCCATTTTGTTGTCCAGTCACTCAGTTTGGTGAGATCTTTTTGAAGTTCTTCACACTCTGCTTTGGTCTTGACTATCTTGAACAGTTTAGTATCGTCTAGAAACTTTGCCACCTCACTGCTTACCCCTTTCTCTATATCGTTTATAAATAAGTTGAATAGGATTGGTCCTAGGACTGACCTTTGGAGAACACCACTAGTTACACCTCTCCATTCTGAAAATTTACCATTTATTTCTATCCTTTGTTTCCTGTCTTTTAATCAGTTCTCAATCCATGAAAGGATCTTGCCTCTTATCCCATGACAACCTAATTTACACAAGAGCCTTTGGTCAGGGACCTTGTCAAAGGCTTTCTGGAAATCTAAGTATACTATATCTACTGGATCCCCCTTGTTTACATATTTGTTAACCGCTTCAAAGAACTCTAATAGATTAGAGTTATGATTATAGGATAAGGAAACACGAAATAAATAGGAGAAGGGAAGGGGGGGGGAGGGGAGATGTTCTGTCGCCTACCCCCCTACTCTCAGTATACTCTCCTGATACTTTATGCATAGAGGTAGGGGAGTGGGCGACAGAACATCTTTCTTTCTCCCCCATCCCCTCCTTCTCTTCTCCTATTTATTTTGAGTTTCCTTATCTTCTAATCATAACTCCAGTCATCTGAAGAATTGGTCTGTGCCCATGAAAGCTCATGACACCATCTACATGTTTTGTTAGTCTATAAAGTGCTACCAGACCATTTGCTTGCTGTTTTTTTCTATAACAGACTAACTTGGCTACACCCGAAGCTCCAAGACATCATAAAGTGTAGGTGGGCTTGATTCCCATAAGCAGTGCATAAAGAAATAAGAGACCAAGTGTATATCCTGAGGTATAAAAGTCAAGTCATTTGAATACATACCTTACATTCCTCATCTAGTAGATCCAAGATGCCCAGTTTGGCCTCTATGAGATTAATACAAGGCTGATTGTCATAGAAATCAATCAAAGTCCATGGAATTTGTTCCTTCATATATTCCTCCTGTTCCAGCTTAAATACATGCTACGTGGAAAAAAAAATCTGTGAATGAAAATTAAGGCCAAATACACTGTTTTCTTGTTAATTTGTTTTCTTCGTGCTACATTAAACCTAGCCAATCAGTGACATACAAGTTACAACTGAGCCAAATAATAAACAAGTGGAAGAAAGGCAAATTAACCCTTTTCTTCTAGCCTATGCAGACTAAATTAAAACATTAATTAAAAGCAAAGCCTGGCTTTTTTTCCTCACTCATAACAGAATCTATTATCGGGCTATTTGTGAACTTGTGAACATATGCATCAGAGAGAGAGAGATACAAACACACATTTGCTTCTTCCACAACACTTGTGCCACATGTCTTTGAAAACAAGATACAAAAATACAGAGACAACTGTTTTGAAAAGTAAATTAGAGCCCCACAAAATTTTCAAAATGAAAGTTCAAGTTCTCAAAATTTGAGATTTTAAAATAGTCAAGGTTGTGTTACAATTACCCTATTTTACACCAAAACAATACTTTTGAATGTTTTCTACTGAGAGACAATTTTGAGATTCATTTGTTTTCAAGTGGCGTTATGTTCAAACAAAACTTAACAGATTTTTAGAAGGAAGAAACAAAGAATCAAAGAGACTTTCATGTGTTTCATGTAAGAAACTCATTTTGCAAAACTTTGTGAAAGTTAAATTTTGTTACATCAACTTCAGTTTTATTTTAATTATTATTTCATAGAAGGGAATACAAAATTACACAGCCCTAACAGAATGTGCACAGAAAGCAAAGTGAACATTTTAGAACAAAAATTCCAATAGTAAAATATTAAACATGCAAACTTTTGTCATTTTAACATTATTTTATTTAACTAAAGTTTCCATAGGATTTGCTTGTTTACTTAATTTAAACTGTATTTTCTGTCACAGTTAAGTTGTAATACATATAATCAGAAATGGGTAAATTTTTTTTAGCAAATAGAAATTTTTCCCAAAATGCATATTTAGGGCTCCAAAATGATTTACAAATTTAAATAGAATTTGACAAATAGTTTAATTTGGGGGAAAATGGAAAAAAACTTTTCAAAATGTTTCACTTTGAACATTTTGAAATGTTTTGTTTCAAGTTTTCATTACAAAATGGCATTACATTTCCAAATTTAGCAAAAAGAAAACATGCACACAAAAATGTGAAAAACACATGAGAATGGCCAAATTAAAACAAAAAGCTATTTTGAAATTGTCCAGAAATGTTTCGGTCCATTATCAACAACATTTTTAAAATTTGTTAATTTGACCAAAAATTCAAAACATTTGTTTTGGCTTAAAAATCAAACCATCTTCCCCCTTGGCTCTCTCAATTTTTTGGTTTAATTCCTAAACTGAAATGTCATTATTCCCTCAGCTCTCTATATAACTATTCTGACTCACAAAAAATTCAGAATATGTTCTAATAAGTATCAACATTTGTGACACTATTTAGGAGACACATAACATTAGTCTAGCTGAAGACACACAACAGTCTCAGGGCATGCCTACACTAGGAAATTATTCTGAAATAACTTCCAAAATAAACTAATTTGAAATAAGTGTGATTCCTCATGACAAGCAGAAGTTATTACTTGGAAATATCAGGCTTGGTAGTGTGGACGTTCCCCAACCTCCCTTCATTCTAGGCTCCCCTTATCTGTAATATCTCCTAAGGGTGACCCCAGGTTGGGTGGACAGGGCTCAAACCCTCAACCTCTGGGTCCTGAGGCAGGTACCTTATCCACTGCACCACTGGAAGAGCCTACCAAGTAGACCAGGACTCAGGATTATCCTTTAGTGCCCTCTTAATTCAATGTGGAAGACTATCAACACATTATATCTCCAGCTCACAACAGCAAGAAAGCAGAAAATTATTCTGACAAAATAGTTTATCCTTTTTATTTTGTTAGCTTAAGCTTTATTCAATGCCTTTAAATATAAAGAGTCCTTAGAAGCAGCTTAGGGGAGCTGCACTACATTTTAAGCACTTAACACCAACATTATATGGAAAGAGAATTCCTCTCTGGAATTAAACTATAGTATTGCTAAATGCAAAACTTCTTTTATTGAAGTACAGGTTGAACCTTCTAAATCTGGGATTCTGTGGTCCAGCAGGATCACGGATGTTGCTGGACCAGAGAGTCTGGGAGTGTGAGCCTGTCAGGAGTCCAGTGGCAGGGAGCAGTCAGGTCCCAAGGGTGCTGGACCTGGGTGGTCCAACCTGTAGTAGTCAGGTTGAATTTGAGCCATGTTCTTCGCTATTGATATATAGTTACATTCTATATTTGGTAAGATACAGATATACAGTAAACTTCTGATAATCCGGCACCTTTAGGACCCAGGGGGTGCCAGATTATCAAATATGCCAGACTATCAGAAGGGGGGAGGCTATGAGGGGTCTGGGGTGGGGTGGGGTAGGGGGA